GGAAGAGGATAGCAGGTGAGGCGGGAGAGGATAGCAGGTAAAACGGGAGAGGATAGCAGGTGAGGCAGAAGAGGATAGCAGGTGAGGCGGAAGGGGATAGCAGGTGACGCAGAAGAGGATAGCATGTGAGGCGGAAGAGGATAGCAGGTGAGGCGGGAGAGGATAGCAGGTAAGGCGAAAGAGGATAGCAAGGGAGGCGGAAGAGGATATCAGGTAAGGCGGAAGGGGATAGCAGGTGAGGCGGAAGAGGATAGCAGGTGAGGTGGGAGAGGATAGCAGGTGAGGCGGAAGACGATAGCATGTGAGGCGGGAGAGGATAGCAGGTAAGGCGGAAGGGGATAGCAGGTGAGGCGGAAGAGGATAGCAGATGAGGCGGAAGAGGATATCAGGTGAGGCGGAAGGGGATAGCAGGTGAGGCGGAATGATTGAAAGACAATCAAAGATTTAGAAAAAGTTTTAAAAAAATTAATATGCATAAAATAAATATAATTTCAAAATTTAGAATATTATTATGGATTACTTGTAATTCCATGCATGTGTTCCAGTATAAAAAGTTATAAATAATTATTGACCGATTTTATCATTGTGATATTTTTGCATTATATCAAGTATTAAGAATATAGTAACTGGGGTCCGCAAATTAAAGGAGAGAGTTATCAACGATAATGTTCTGACTTCGAATCTACGATTATCTTCCTTTTAACACTCCTTTTTCATTATTTTGATATATACTTTTTATCACATAAAATTTGGTGGGGCGCGAGCGAATTTTCATTCCGAAAATACGGCCAAGATAGAAAAGCACCTATGAGTCGTATCGCACCGTTTGGCCATCACTACTCTCGGATTAATGTCCTGGCAGCCAGATTTCAAATTTTCACATCCTTTTTAATAGAAATTGTTTCGCTTTCTAAGTATGTAAAATAATTCTGTTAACTTAAAAATAATATTCAATTAAGAACAAAAAAATACGAGCCATTCTCGCGAGATCGAAAAACATCACGACTTCATTCACTCATGATTCATAAGACGCTTCCAATCAGTCCACGTCAGATAAAGAGGGATATTGCTCGAGACTCATCGGTCTCTTTCAAGTATTTACAAATAACTCCATCAAAGTCAAATTAAATTCTTCTTCGCTAAGTTTGAACAAGTTATTCATCCGTGCATTGAATATCTGGTCTGGGGCTCCGTCTATATATCTCAAGGATCTTTAATGTAATCGGTCCTGACCAGGCAATTCAACTTGTTTCACTTCCCAACCGCCATGATGTGTCTTCTTTCTGTCTTTTTCTATAAAATATTTTCATGGCAGCTCTCCTTCTTGGTACCTCGTCTGCATGAATTTAAGCGTACTACTAGATGGGCGGTTAGGTTCGCTTTATTATTGAAATATCTAGATCTAACCGTAAATTCTATTCTAATAGTTTCTTTTCTTGAACTTCTCACCTGTGGAACTGCGGTTTCTTGCTTCTCTGCCATCTACAATCTTCAAAACTTTAAAAATGAACGTCAATCGCCATCTTCTGTCTTCCTTAAACCTGTTCTTTTATTCTGCTTTCTTCTAGCTAAAGTCTTCTCTGTCTATATTTCTGAGATGAGGTATTATGTACACTATTTACATTATTCGGACTATTGTCCTCATGTTTGTCGTCAAGTACACATGACACAGTGGATAAAGGCGTTAGTTAGATCCAGTGACAGGATCCAAAGAGTGTGAGTTCAATACCCGGTTAAGGCAGTGGAGAACTTGGAGGGGGGAATTAACACGAGATAACTGACAGCTGACATCCATTAAACATGGTACGTGGAACTAGAACAGTCTACCCCAGTGAGCGAAATAAAGGGTTCAGTTCGACATTCCAACCATCTGACGAAGGCCGGAGCGTATAACGAAACATTGTAATAAATATGGTGAAAAAGATGAGGACAAGAGTCTAAATAGTGTAATGTCTTCCCATTGTCGTTTATTTCTCAGTAACACCCTTGCGTCTTAGTGACATTATCGCCTTGCTTGAAGTGAAGTGATTAAAAGAAAAGCAACAGAAATAAATAAGAATTTTATTAACGGAACCTATACGCAGACGTTTATTAACCACAGATGCAAAATAGTTTTTGAGCTTCGTATTTCAAATTTGTGCAAAATTTCCTTTTTCTTATAATGCATCTTTTTAGCACGCCTGTTGGAAGGAAGGAGAGATTTATTTACCTTCGTTTCCTCTTTTTCTTGCCCGCTTCACATTCAGGTCGACCACTACAGTAGTAATGTCATCTACAGTTTCTCTATCACTAGTCGATTTCTCTGTTTTTATTCCCAGTGACCTATTAGTCACCATTCGAAGAATATTGCTAGCGGAATATTCATTGTCGTGGTGAAAAGTAAGAAAATAATAATTCAGCAATAAATGCTGTAATAATAATATTAAAAAAAATGCGCCAATCTAATATTTTAACACGAAGTTGGCTGGTTTGAAATGCGTATATATTTAATGTGACTTCCTGCAAAACATTCTAAACTTGATGCCATTTCCTCTATAATGTTTATTGTTTTTAGTTTGTTCATTCTTTGTTCACGGGTTCATTAGATTAACACCGATCTAGGGCTTGTTTTTCTTGCATCAATTCAAATATGATGTGAGGGCGCGTAACTGAGTGTTGAGTGTAAAAAGAACTAATGGCGGCGAAGTGAATTGTGTGGACATACTGTAACCAAGTGGTCAAGAAATCTCCGGAATAAAGGCGCCAAGGAACACACACACACACATACACATTATTAGATATTAATGACATGCGTCTTCAGGAAGTAGGTGATCATGGCTGCCCACAGATTCCTTTTATATATTATCTGTGATTTCTTAGGAAAGATACGGAAGAAATTATCAGTTGCATTCTTTCACATTTTGAATTGGGAGTTTTCCTGTTTCTAATCCGGGTGCCATTCAAGGTTAAAGAGCCAAGTCTACCTTACTATTTTATGTCTTTCCAAAATACATCACTGGGAAGTTGATCAAAACAAAACAGGCTGGAACTTGAAATCCGATTGCATTTTCGTGCTGAGAAATGGCATATGAATGCGCGCGCGCACACACACACACACACACACACATATATATATATATATATATATATATAATTTCGGTCTGATGAGGCCGATATTAAAAACTTATAAATTTATTACAGAATTCTTCAATAATATGTTCAGTTTTTCCTTTTTGATATATATATATCGTCGTCGAGTTTGACGTATGAGGGTCATACAGATCAGTTCCCAGGAAACTGACAGACCGACAAAAGCAAATGAGATTTGATTATAGTGGTGAACATTTCGTGCAGGACCATCCACACTTTTTGAGGGGGCCGAATTCAGAGATCTGGTGCACTAAGTGCCACAAGGTCCCCAAACGACCCTCCGCAGGTTTTGAATTCAGAGTTGTCCTTCTCCTAGACCAGTTGCCATCCAAGGCTATAGAACCCAGTCTGTCCTGCTATTTACCCATAGCTGGAGGGAGAAGAAGTGGATATATATATATATATATATATATATATATATATATATATATAGCGCAGATCAAACTCATTACGCAATTGATTTATAGCTAACTATTGTCCCAGGTCGGTTGACTGATTGATAGATTTGTTGTTTTTTACGCCTTATCAACCTTTTGCCCGTTATCTAATACTAGAAAATATCATTAGATTGTACGAATTCTTGGGAGATTATAATGATTTTCTGCTACGATTGCTGCTCATTAAGCGACACCTTTCTCAAGGGCATTTGAGCATAAATGAATATAACGGACACAACTGGAATTTGAACTCGGCTCTTTAATTTCAAATTCTGAACCGCTATCCATTACTCTAGCCGCACATCCAACCTTACAGTACCTGGTATGCCCAAGCCATTACCCATCTAGTTACTGACCATGTTCAACGTTGCTTAACTTCGGTTATAGTACGGGGACAGGTGTTTCAGCGTGATGTGGCCGTAAGCCATCTTGGAAAATAGGAACTAGACAATTTTTCTTCAGTACTCAATAAATTATCATACGTTTTTAAATTGAAATACCAACGAATATATATATTTCAGTTTGTTCGGTTATTCTGTCTATCTCTCTCTCTATCTATCTATCTATCTATCTCCCTCTCTCTCTCTCTCTCTCTCTCTCTATATATATATATATATATATATATATATATATATATAGCATAATGAGAAGCCACGTATACTTTCTTAATATGACGGACGCTACTTGTAAACAAACAGTAATTTTAATTTATTTGTAACAAAGAGTTATTTCTGAAGAAAGATTGAGGTCAATCTGAAATATCAAATATATATATAAATAAATAAATACTTTCATAAAAAACATGATTATTTTTTTAATTTGCAATTTTTTCTATATATATATATATATATATATATATATATATATATATATATATGTGTTAGTGTGTGTGTGTGTGTGTAGGTAGCTAGTTATCTTATCTATTTCAGTCTATTCATGTCTAAATTTGTCTATATTTCTGAGATGAGGTATTGTAACTATATACATTGTTCGGAATTTTATCATTTTTATTGCCATATTCACGACATATAGATATGAAGAGAATTGTTCCACTGATTGGAACATTATTTCGTTTGATGGGATCCTGTTCGGAGATAAGGCCATACGGTTCGAATAATCAATAGTGTGTGAGATAAATACGCCAATCAACCTAATAAAATGAACACTTTGCTTTAGAAAAAATACAATTTTCAGACACTGGACTTGTTTTCTTAAAAGAAACTTGAATGATAATTTTTTACCTCTTTGAAAATATTGATCGATTGATTGGTTTTCTACGGATTATCAACCATTTGCATTAATCCATAGCTGGACGACAAGAGATGAATTCAGACCTTTTCCAAGGGCATTTGCGAATAAGTGAATATAATAAACCCAACTGGAATTGGAACATGGCTCTTTCATTAACAATTCCGAGCATTTATAACATCCAAGCTTACAGCACTTGGTCTTCCTAAACCGTCACCCATCAAGGTACTGGCGAAGTTCAACGTTGCTTACCTTCGATGATCGTATGGAAACCGGTATTTCAACGTTGTATGGCCGTAAGCTTTCTTGGAAAATAGGCCAAAGACAATTCTCTTCAGTACACAATAAATTACCATGCGTTTAGAAATTGAAATACCAACGAGTATATCTATCTCAATTTGTTTATATTTAGTTCGCTTATTCTATCTATCTATCTATCTATCTATCTATCTATCTATCTATCTATCTAGCTTAGTCTCTTCATATCTATCTATATGGATAGCTAGCTATCTTATCTATTTTAGTCTACTCATATCTAAGTTTGTTAATATCTATCGACGTTCGACATACAGTGTAACCCGGATATAAGAGAGTTGTCGGGACCGGAGACGAAGTCTCTTATATCCGGGTTTCTCCTATATCCGGGTTTGGTGTACTTTCTTTAGGTAAGTATGGGCTCTAATTTGGGACTAGAGAAAATCTCTCTTATATCCGGGTTTCTCTTATATCCGGGTCTCTTATATCCGGGTTACACTGTATATTCATATCTATCTATTCCCCACAAACGCAGACCCAGATACAACCACTTGCATGTCACCCACCCCCACCCCAATACACGCACGCTCGGAGACCAATGTTTCAAGAAAAATTTGAAATAAATTTAGTCGTAAAAATCACATTTGATTAAGAAAAACAGTTTAAATTGCTTTTATTAATTCTTTTGTCATGCCAATAATTTCCATCAAAAAGCTATATCGGTAACGCCAAAATTGATATCTATCGACGGATTAATCTAAACTTTGTAATCAATACTCTTTTCCATCAAAATCTACCAGCCCCCCCTTCCCTGCTACTGCAGCTATTTTTCAATAAATAGTATAGGCAATGTAATGGTCTCCTAATTCAGATTGGAGTTTTAAGTCATTTCTAACTGCCTGACAATTGTTCGACGGTACACAAATAAAACGGCAGGTGCACATCAAACTTTAACTCCCGAGAAAATAACAAAATATATTTCATATACTGTATTATAGATCGTATATAACAGCAAAATAGTCCAAATCGTGTAACAGCAAAATTGCCCAATTATTAAATTAAGCTCTGAAACGCTGTATCTTAGAAATAAATAAAGATATCTTACTTGCATTCTCCGAGGTTTTTATAACACTATAGCACTCTACTTTGACAAATAAGATTGTATAATTAGACTCCAGGCTTAACAGAAGAATCATGATGAAATTGATCATAAACGAAAATGACATGTTCATCATTAATTAATTATAGGTAAGGATAGGAAGCTCATGAAGTATTGAAATAAAGTCTAAATATGTACTTATTATTCCAGAATCATTTTCCGACTTATTCAAGATGATCTTCGCCCTCTCTAACCTTCTAACTTTCTATCCTGAAAAAAAAAAACAATGTGCCTCACAGGTTTCATGTACGATTTCATTTTCAATTCTTTTTTCACTGATTTTTGGACTGTCATAGCCGAAACTGCTTTATCACGTGTCAAACGTCTTATGGTTTGAGTTGGATATTTTCTAATTTATCTCTTTTGTTCTATGTTGAAATGATAATCCATCTTTCTTTTGTGACCTCCTCGTATAGTTTTCAACTCTACTTGTTCTTTCTTTCTTTTTTTAAACTTATTCACCGTCTGCTTGATGGCTTTTGAATGGACTTGGAAGATGGAAACCAGAGTATGAATGTTGGTACCATTATTGAAGGCCTAAATGATCTTTTTCCTCTCAACATTGTTCAGTTGAGAAGACATAATGGGGCTGAGGTAAAACGATTTTAACCTGTTCCCATTCTAGCTGAAAACTCAAAGGTTTTTTTTGTGATTCTTACGAAAAATGGTGTCAAGACGGCTAAACGTCATATCTGAAAATTTGGAGAAAAGAAACTCAATTACTTTAGTGGGTTTTAGATATTAAACATTTTGCGGCTGTTACACGATTTGGACAAATTTGCCGTTACACCAGGTATATATATATATATATATATATATATATATATATATATATATATATATATAGGCAGCAACCCTTCGTTTATGCATGTTTCATTAAAAACAACAGACAAGGTACTACGGTTAAGCTTTTTATTTAATTTTTCTTGTGTTCAAACAAGAGTTTTCTTTTCTGGTCAAACAGTGTGTAAAAAATGTCCAAATGTTTTATAGTTTCAAGCGCTTTCGGCTATACTTTAGCCATTATCAAGGATGATTCGATTTTCAGCTTAATTGAGTGTGTGCGTTATGTGTATGTTTTAGTGTGTTGTAGAGATGTTTTCAATTTCCGAATACGGTTAGCACACTGTGGCCTTGTTCGTAGTTAATATCGTTAAAAAAAGAAGCCAACTCTTAACAATATTAACTACGAACAATTGAATCATCCTTAGCCGAAAGCACTTGGAAGTATAAAACATTTGGACAGTTCTTACACACTCTTTGTCCAGAAAAGAAAGCTCGTCTTCGAACACAAAAAAAAATTTAAAAAAAGCTTAAACGTAGTACCTTGTCTGTCATTTTTAATGAAACATATATATATAACTTAAAAGAGACTGTTTGACCAACACAAGGAATGTTAAAAAGATAAAAAAACAAACAAATGAAAACTACAGACAAATGTTCATTTTCTCCAGCAAGACATTCATTTCTGTAGTTCACTGCTACCAGCAAGCAGAAATATTTCTTCTCCTGATGATGGCCATGTTGGCCGAAACTAGTCGAGGAATCTAAATGAAATAATAATAAAAAAAAAAACGAAAGAATATTAATCTACAACCCAGTGTGTCTGAAGATTTTAATTTTTAATATTTTTTTTATTGTTCAATATATATATATATATATATATATATATATATATATATATATATATATATATATATATATATATCTGTGTGTGTGTGCGTATGTACAATTCCAGTAAATATAAGGAACAATATATTCTTTTGGTCGTATCCATTGTCTTTAAAAAGATTTCATCTCTATTTGGGAAAGGTAAGTGTTAACTTTTGTAATGTTATTTTAATAGCTCTATGTTGCTATGCTTGTGCAATCACGGTGATACTTTTATATATGTATATGTAGTGTGCGATGGATAAATTGTCGCCATTTTATGTTTTTGATTTTGCGCATGTGCGTTGGTTGTTTTTTGGTTTTGTCGACTGCACAGCATAGTAGGGTCGGTTGGGCTCCGTCTGTGAGAAAAAAAAAAAAAGAGCACAATGACACAATTCACTCCGCCAGAAATTTGCGCCGAATGCTCAAATAGGAACATTTCAGAGTGCAAGTTTGATGAATCTAATGGTGATTACGAAGGGTCAACAGTTTGGAAAACCCACTGTCATCGTTCTAATAAGAAAAGAATTCTCGAATTTGTTGGCGAGAGCTTCAGTCTCAAAACGGAGGCCTATATCAAGTGCCTTAGGACGGTAGTGCTGCCGTGGGTCAAGAGGATGGCTATTCAAAGACCCTATGTCTGGCAACAGGTCACTGCACCATGCTACACATGGCTGCTAGGCAATTTCTGCGACCACATCACCCCTGAGATCTGGTCCCAGACTGCAACCCCCCTTGATTATTATGTATGGGGCGCAGTTGAATGAGAGACCAACAAAACTCCTTGTAACACCAAAAATTTACTGAAGGCAAAGATTATGGCAGCATTCATTAAATTAAACAAGGAGACCGTCCAGAAGAGTTGCAGGAGGTTCCGAAGTCGTCTGGAGGGCGTGGTTGAAGCCAATAGTGAATAAATTTACTCTTTAGTATTTCAAGATATTTTCGTGTAATTTTGGTAGATATGTATGTTGAAATAAAATGACAGTATTATTTGCGTTTTTCCGTAATTTAGACGATAATTTATCCATCACACCATATATATATATATATATATATATATATAGTGATTTTCCAAGCGGAGCTTAGATGTGGCACAAGGCCGAAAGTATGGAGCACCCAGTGAGTATCGAACTCACTACTCAGTCGTAATTGTTCCAGCCAGACAAGCTTGTTAACCATTACACCACGCCGAGGTGTCCATATATATGTGGAAATTTGAAGCAGTTTCAAGGGAAGGGAAATTTAGTGAAACCAACAGTGTATATAGAGAAATAATTTTTACTTGGTGGGTGTTATATGGTATTTATTAATTATGATAAAGAATGAATACACATAAAAATGTCTTAAAAATAATTGTCCATTTCATAATATATATATATATATATATATATATATATTATAAAAAAAATATATATATATATAAAATATATATATATATATATATATATATATATATATATATATATATATATATATATATATATATATATATTCCTGTTCAATGTAGGGCACACCTTGTTATCTTTCAGGGAACATTTATGTGAATGAAAGAACCAACTGGGACTAACCTCACAAAAAAAAGTTCTTTCATTTTGATTGTTTGGTTGGTTGATTTTGTTTCTATGTTATTTCTTGTTATCTGTTAAAATGAGATGTCTGTTATTTTCATTTTTGCTTAATTTAGATGACAATTTATCCATTGCACTATATGTGTGTGTGTATGTGTGTGCGTCGCTTAAGAGTAACGGCTGTGTTCCGTTTTATAATATGTAACATTAATTGATTTGTTTTTCACGGTTTATCAACCTTGTGCTGGTTATTTAAATACAGAAATTAATCAAGATTGACTAAAGAACTTAACTGGATATTAATGATGGGTGAAGAAACTTCCGGTAAAATTCCTTACACCACAGCATAAGTTAATATTTTCATGTTGATATATATATATATATATATATATATATTATTATTATTATTATTATTATTATTTATATATATATATATATTCGTTTATTATATTATGTTATTATATTATATTTATATATTATATTTTCATTTATTATATTATTATATTATATATATATTACTATTATAAAATATTATTATTTTTATATATATATATTTTTTTTCGTTTATTATTAAATATTATTTTCATTTTCTTTCGACGTACGAGTGTCTTTTCAGTTCAGTTTTATTTTCGTATGAGACAACAATTCTGCATGGGATTTGC